TACGTACCTACATACACAGCCAAGTGCAAGACAATTCACTCAGGAATGCTGAAAACATGAGGATGTCCTCAACTGAATAACCACAATATTGGCCATTTTCTTTTCTTTTTCTAAGCCCCCACCTCCCTACCAGTAGTTACTGCAAAAGTAGGAAAATAATGCCAAAGACTGATTTGCAGCCTTCTCTCTACCCAACACCACCTATTTTTCTGGTAAGGAGTTCTCTCTCTCTCTCTCTCTCTCTCTCTCTCTCTCTCTTTTTGAGAGGTTTTTGCTATAGGGCACAAGCACTTGCCAGAAAGAGAGAGACAGAGACAGAAAGCAAGAAATCATCCCTGGGGGAGATGGCCACACTGCAATCCCTTCTCCTCCATTCTCCTCTCGGGATCTTGGGCACGCATGCACGCACACGTATCGGACATGAGTTTAAGCCACCGGGTCCAGGACTCGAACTACAGTCAACCACATGGGAGTCCAGCAACATAGTCATTATGTTGTCAACAGTTGGTCCCAAAGAGTTCTAGTTAAGAGGTCACACTAGGCCTGGGCTCCGTAGCACCTGGAAGCTTTCCAGACTGTGTGCTGCAGAGCTGGAAGCCACACGCCAATCACAGTTCAAGTCCCCTCCCACTTGGCTGGAGGACACAACAGTACATACACATGCTCAAAATCTTGAGGGGCTGGTGGATGTGGGTGGGAATCATGCATGATCAAGCCCTGCAGAGGGAGCTTCTCTCTCTGTCGTACACAAGAGTGTTATGAAGGATTTAAAAACTTAGAAAGATGCAAATTGTGATGAATGTTGTCTTTGTTTCTTCTCAGAGGCTGTTGAAGTTTTTATTCATATTTGAATTGTCCTATCATCAATACCTAATATTTTATCATTTCGAACTACAAGAAATCTTAGAAATCTTGTACACATTCTAACCTTCTCCTCTCATTTTCTTTTAGAGAGAGAAATTTTTGCTATAGGGCACATGTGCTTACTAGAGAGACAGAGAGAAATAGAAAGTGAGAAATCAACCCCCAGAGGGGATGGCCACACCACAATCCCTTCTCCATTCTCCTCTTGGGATTTTGGGCATGCATGCATACGCACCTGGTGTGAATTCTAAGCCACTGGGTCCAGGATCCAAACTGCGGCTGACTACGTGGGAATCCAGCGACGTAATCATTACGTCATCTGCTGGTCCCACCCCTCTCATTTTCTAAATGTTTCTGAGGGAGGCTCAGAGATGTGGGATAACCTGCCCAAGTATTTAAAGCTAACTTGGCCAGCTCTCCATTGATGTAGAGGGTCTGGCTTCCCCACTGGTTTGCCCAGGGTTTTAAGAACCCATGTGGATGGAAGAAACGTTCTTGCAGAATCCCTATCACCAAAGCTAATCATAAACAGAGCCCACAATAAATGCATTCAAAGCCAAGTACAATAAGAGAATTATTATCACAAATATCTAACTCAAAGTAATCAGTCCTTACTTTTTCTCCTTCATCATCTCATTCTTCATACCTATAATCCTACCCATAGAGTGTTCACAAATAAGCTCAGTAAAAGTGAAGATGCCAACAGAGACTGACAAACCACAACTTCCAGTTACCGCCCAAAATTGTATGAGGCAGCCCCACCTGCAGAATCTTCACAAAGAAATCTCTCTCTCTTTTTAATTTCTTTTTTGAGAGGTTTTTGCTATAGGGCGCGTGCATTCATCAGAAAGACAGGGAGAGAGACAGAGAGACAGAAAGCGAGAAATCACCCCCCAGGGGGAGGGCCACGCCACAATCCCTTCTCCTCCATTCCCCTCTTGGGATCCTAGGCACACACGCACATGTGCCCAGCGTGAGTCTAAGGAACCGGGTCCAGGACTTGAACCACAGTCGTCTACATGGAAGTCCAGTGACAGTCATTACACCAACTGCTGGTCCCAATCTCCTCTCTCTTAAAATCACCTAATTCTCTAAATTTTAAGTTAATGACAATCTCTACTTCATCATAACCCCTTATTCATATAACCATAAGTAATTTTATAAATACAACTAATAACAAAACTTCTTAAATTACAATAATTCTATTAAAAAGTCCATTAAACACCCTCAGGAAAAGTACACAAATAAATAAAACATCAAAAGCTCTTGAAAACAGGGTTACTTTTTTTTGTTAGAGAGAGATTTTTGCTATAGGCCATGTGTATTCACCAGAGAGACATCAAGGAACAGAGAGACAGCAAATGAGAAATCACCCCCCCTCCCCAGGGGAAATGATCACATCACAATCCCTTCTCCTCCATTCTCCTCTCAGGAGTTTGGGCACACATGCACATGCGCTTGGCATGAGTTTTAAGACGTCGGATCTAGGACTCAAACCACAGTTGACTACGTGGGAGTCCAGCAACATAACCGTTATGCCATCTGCTGGTCCCAGGTTTACCTTTTTAAATTAAAAGATTTCTCTTTTTCTTAAGTTTATTTATTCATTTCTTCCATGAGTGAGAGAGGGTGGCAAAAGGAAAGAGAAAGAGACAGCACTCCCCATAGGGTCCCGATGCTGTGACCCACCTCAGCCTCAGCCAGCCTGGGATCACAGGCATGCACCTGTCTAATCTACCTGGGGAGGTCTCCAGCTGTGGGCTACAGACTTCCCGCGTGGGTCAGCCTCATGCTTTACTACTGCACCATCCACAGGGCCCATCGAAGATTCCTTTACGGGTCCTAGAGGTAGTTATGATTTTTTTTTTTTTTTTGGAGAGATTTTCACTGTAGGGCGCGTGTGCTCGCCAGACAGACAGAGAGAGACATAGAGACAGAAAGCGAGAAATCACCCCCCAGGGGGGATGGTCACGCCGCAATCCCTTCTCCTCCATTCTCCTCTCGGGATCCTGGGCACGCACGCACACGCGCCCGGCGTGAGTTTTAAGCCACCAGGTCCGGGACATGAACCGCGGTCGACTACGTGGGAGCCCAGCAACATAGCCATTATGCTAACTGCTGGTTCCCGAGGTAGTTATGATTTTTGAAACTGCTATGACGAGTATAAAGTTGGACAATCACCACAAATATATTAATTGGCTTATTCTCATCGTACCTGATAGTTGTTTCACTTAGCAATAATTTGCTGAGCACCTACCCTGGGCTAGGTAGATACATAATGCTAAGAATACAATGCCAAACAGCTTCGGTCTCTGTTCTCAAGAAATTCACTGTTGGGGGTAGGGGCAGTGCGTAAAAACATGTACTACATAAAATACATCAAAGACCTAAATGTGAGGTTTAAAGCTATGCAACTCTTAAAAGAAAACACAGAGGAATTCTTTATGACATTGGATTTGGCAATAAGTTCTTGGATATGATGTCAAATGCACAAGCAATAGCAATAACAACATCAACAAAGGCACAATGGATTCATCAAAACTGAAAACTGTGCACAAAAGGACACAATGAACAGAGTACAAAAAACGACCCACTGGGAGCCGGCAGGTGGCATGGTGGCTGGGGCACTGGACTCCCACATGGTTCACCCCAGTTCAAGCTCCAGGTTGGTGGCTTGCTTTCTCACTTTCCCTTTCTGTCTCTCTCTGGTCAATTTTTTTTTAAATGGTAATAATAATAAATAAAATGAAATAAATTGTCTAAAAATAAATAAATAAATAAGGCCATTGAATAGAAGACAATACTTGCAAATCATATACTGCTAAGGGATCCAGAATGTACAAAGAACTGCTATAATTCAACAGACAAGAACCCAGTTCAATCATGGGTAAGAGAGTGAAAAAGACATTTCTTCAAATGAACACTAACCACACGGAAAGATGCTGAACATCACCGGTCATTAAAGAAATGCAGATCAAAGTCATCAGCTACTTTACTCCCACCAGGATGGTTACTGCTAGAAAAACACAGGTGTTGATGAGGATGTGGAAGAACTGAAATTCTTGGTGAAACGCAAAGCGGAACAACCACTGTGGAAAACAGTGTGGTGTTACCTCAACATATGAAACATACAAGATTTATTTGATCCCCCAATTCTGGTTCTGGGTATATATCTCAAAGGGTAGATAGCAGGGTCTCAAAAATATATTTGTACATCGACATTCAGAGCAGAACGATTCTTAATAACCAAACTAAGCATTTACCAATGGATGTAGATCAATAAAATATGGTATATCCATACAATGGAATATTATATAGCCTTTAAAAATGAAGCCAATTCTGACATATGCTACATAGATGAATCTTGAAGACATTATACTAAACAATAAGGTCAGTATTATGTCATACAACAGATAGTGTATGATTCCACTTTAGTGGTTCAAATTCAGAGGGACAGAAATGAAAATGGTGGTCTCCAGGGGCTAGGGCAGATAAAGGAATAGGAGTTATTGTGTAGTAGGTACAGAGTTTCAGCTCAACAGGATTAAGAATTCTGTGGGTGCCTTGTTGGTGGGGGTTACACAAGAGAGTGACAATTATATTGTACCCTTAAAAATGGCTACAACGTTCATTTTTACATTGTGTATATTTTGCCAAGAGCTTAATGAATTTGAGCACTACCATCACCATTATCAGAAAACTTGCCAGGAGCCAACTTATGTCTCAGCCACACTGCAAGGGATCACCCTAGGTGTCCTGGTCTCTCTTTGAAACGCCCTCCCAGAGAAATCTTCAGTTCTGTGTGAAAGACCACATCAGGAGCAGAAGTAGAAAGCCCTGTTGAAGAACGCTGATGACCACTGAGCCCCATTGAGTGTTTCTTGGAGACCATAAGTCTCATACGACTGAGAATGTTAAATATCTTCATTAACGGAAATCATCTAAAATGCCACTCTCATCTCTATAGAACAGACGTCTTAGGAGAGACAAGCATGTTAGACGTCATTGACTTGTGCTTTGGACCGTTGAGAGGTTGTGACCGGGTCTCCTGGCAGGGACCGTGGGGACCGAAGTAATCTCCATAGGTCTTTGATACATTTTAGAAGCAAATATTAAGCTTGCTGGTGAGAACTTACTGGTTGTATTTCATCCTGGAGACACCCTGGATCTCAGGTCTTCTTCAGCAGTGAAGTGCTCCCACAATGGCCATCGTCAGAAAGATGAGAACAACTGGACATGGGACACCAGGCTCACCACTGGGAGAGAATACAAGGATGACAGATTACTTGAGGTAGAGGTAAAATAATGTCCCCATGACCCCAACATTCGTAGATGTCACCCTACATGGTGTGCCCTTAAAAAGCAATCCTTAGGACCGGCTGGTGTTATGGTGGGTATGGCTGACTGCACTGTATGAATCCCAGACCCAGCAGTTTGAAAAACATGTTGGATACATATGTGTGCATGTGCAAAATCTCAAAAGGAGAGAAAGATGGAGGAGAAAGGAGTGCAGAGTGGCCATCCCCCATGAGAGAGGCTTTCTCACTCTTTCTGGCAAATTTTAAAACAAAAACAAAAGCCACTACACTTTTAGAGCACTCCACAAACTCTTTGTGTCTTCTGTTTGCTGAGCAAGCTGTGCTGAGCCCGGGTTGTCCATAATTAAGAAGCAGTGAGGAAGTTCTGAGAATGAGTTCTAGCACTGTGCTATAGTTTGGCTTTGTCCAGGCTAAGAAAGTGCTCCCTGTGACACCACTTTCAGATGAGACAGCCAAAGCCCATGGAAACAAAAGGAGAAAGAAGCAGCAACACTTCACTGTGGGTTGAGGGATGAAGTCTTGAACCCATGCTCCCTCATGCCCCGTGTCCTCCTCACCACAGCCTAGTTTCTGTCTGCACTCGGTTGGAGCCTGAAGCTGAGGCCGAGATCACAAACTTCTCTCCCCATGAAAGTCCATGAGCCTCCCCCAGAAGAACCACTCCCTGGCCCTTGGCCACAGAACACACAGCCACACCTTTAATCAGAAAGGCCAGCAGCCAGGGCGTGCAAATGGCAAATCCATCTGCCCCAGTATCCAGACAGCAAGGCTGACAGTATTGTCTTCACAGTGAAAAATGACACATCCCACTAATTCCATGGCTCTGACAGACCTCACCACCTGGCACGCTGGGTCTGCCTTATTCCCAGAGTGTTTCAGACACCCAAACAAATGAACGCATGTTCCTGGGTGATACAAAATTGTCCAACTTCCATACAACACCATCATCATCCATTAAATTTGCACCAGACTTCCTTGGACCTATGGAAGATCAGTTGACCCTTGGAGTCATTAACATTAGCTATTTCTTTTTATAAATTATTTTATTTAATCATTATTAGTATTATTAATTATTTTAACTTGTTATAGTCATCTGAGAGAGAGAGAGAGGTAAAGTAAGAAAGCAAGCCACCAGGTCCAGGGCTTGAACCACAGTCAGCCCTGTGGGAATCTAGCACCCCAACCACCAGCCGCCTGCTGGCCCCAACATTAGCTATTTTTCAAAGCCAGCTTCTCATCTTGGCCAGTGGAACCTATCAATTCTCGTGGAAGAGCTCTCACTAGCTTTTGTACTGGGTCCATAACCCAGGCTGAATGAAGCGTTTAGAATCGGTAAGAACCAGATGGCCCTCCGGGATCATGTCTGAATGTTTGGATCTGAGTCATTTGTATGCGGAAGCCTTTGCAAAGCAGCAATCTGGGGAACAGGCTCCGGGCTGCGTCCAGCTTTCCAGACAGCCCATCTTTGCCTACAATCGAGAAGACAAGCACAATATTGTAGAGTTCCATAAAAATATTACAGCGTTTCTCTGTATGTGAAGCTCCAAATGCATGAAGTGCCCCGTCGGGCTGTCACTGAGCTGTAGATGTTCACCATGGCTCCTCCTCTCTCCCCTCCGACATTATTTCTCTTTTTCCTGTTGCACCTAAAGCTTCCCCTCTTAGCACTGGCATGAGGCCAGCTTTGGGGATCAGCCAGCAGAGGGGACTACCGCACTGGCGCAATAATCCACACCGCAGCAGATCTAGAGCTAAACAAGATGTAGACTGATTACTATGGGCTCCAGGCTAATTACGAACTGAGCGTTCCCTGCCAGAAAGGCCAGGGGCAGAAAAGACAGAAGTAAAGCTGGCAGCCTGCTCACCTCGGGAGGCAGGGTCCCATGGTCCAGCGGTTGGGCAAAGCTAGGCTCAAAAGTAGGAAGGGATCGGGGCCAGCAGTTATCGTAACGGCTATGTCACTGGACTCCCACGTAGTCGACCGTGGTTCATGTCCCGGACCCGGTGGCTTAAAACTCACACCGGGCGCGTGTGCGTGCGTGCCCAAGATCCTGAGAGGAGAATGGAGGAGAAGGGATTGTGGCGTGGCCATCCCCCTTGGGGGGTGATTTCTCGCTTTCTGTCCCTCTGCCTCTGTCTGTCTGGTGAGCGCATGCACCCTACAGCAAAAAAAAAAAAAAAAAAAAAAAAAAAAAAGCCTCTAAAAAAAAGAAAAAGTAGGAAGGGATCAAAATGAAGTGGTCAACCCAGCAATCCTGCTTCTGCGTATTTACCCTGAAAAGAAAAAGCTATGTCCATGCAAATATCTGTACGTGGGCATTTAAAAGCAGTTCTAATTATTATCCCCCCAAAATGGGAGCAACCCAACGTCCTTTACTCAGTGAATAGATAAACCAAGGATAGTCCATACAATGGAACGCTCTTCACTAATCAGAAATTTAAAAAATATACATTGATACATACAACAAAATGAATGAGTTTCAAAGGCATTATGTTGAGTGGAAAACGCCATTCCCAAAAATGTTACACTCACATAACTCCATGTTATTTTTAACAGATCAGCAGTTGCCAGGGAACAGGGGTGTGAAGATTTGACTACTAAGGAATAGTTTGAAAGAATGTTTTAGAGAAGCCAACAAGTGGCATGGTGGTTAAGGCACTGGACTCTCACATGGCCAACCACAGTTCAAGTCCCAGACCCAGTAGCTTGGAAATCATACCAGGTATGTGTGTGAATACCCAAAATCCTAAGAGAAGAATGGAGGAGAAGGGATCATGGCATGGCCATCCCCTTGAGGAGTCATCTATATCCTGTTTTTGGTCATTATTACATTAATCTATACTGTTTTAAAATTCAGAACCATATATGAAGAAAATAAGTTTCACTGTATGGTAATTTTTTTTTTTTGAACAGTAAAAAGGCATTAAAACATGGACCAGCAGTTAGCATAATGGCTATATCACTGGACTCCCATGTAGTTGACCACAGTTTGAGTCCTGGACCTGGTGGCTTAAACTCACACCAGGCGCATGAGCATGTGTGCCCAAGATCCTGAGAGGAGAATGAAGGAGAAGGGATTGCAGCATGGCCATCCCCCCTGGGGGGTGATTTCTCTCTCTCTGTCTCTGTATCTCTGTGTCTTTCTGGCAGGCACATGCGCCCTATAGCAAAAACCTCTCAAAAAAAAAAAAGCATAAAACAAACAAATGGATATAACTCAAAGGGGCAGGATGGGATGAGAATATAAAAGAGTCAATTCAAGAAAATAGACAGATCATCATCAAGAATGTATAGATAAAGGTGCTGATCCCATGCCCTGGAGGTTAAGGGAGCTGGGTCCCACAAGGCCAACTGTGTGGTTCAAATCCTGACCATAGTGGCTTGATAAACACCTTGGGCTTCAGTTGTGTGCATGCCCAAAGTCCTAATGAGATGGAGACATGGAATAGGGCTTGCGATGTGACTATGCCCCATGAGAGAGGTGCTTTCTCTCCCTTTTCTCTCTCTCTCTCTCTCTCTCTCTGGCAAGTATATGTACGTTCTGGCAAAATAATTTTTAGAAAGAATGTATAGATAAGGCAAAGCCAGAAAGGGCAGAGGAGAGCTGAGGGCGGTCTAACAGGAACGAAACAAGAAGACGGGGCTCCTCCCTGCAGCCAGTGGGCTCACGTGGACAGTGGTGTTTCATCAAGGATCAGCAGCTCAAAGCAAAGGAACCCGGGGAACCGCCCAACCCCACATGGTGGCGACTGAGCGAGGCGGCACCATCCAGTGTTGATGTGACCAGAGCCTGCCCATCCTCAAAAGCTAACGATCATGAGGGTAGAACAGTCTCAAGTTATTTCGTCACCTCATTGGCTGAGAAGGAGGGGCTTATTAGCTTTGGTAGAGGTTTGGTTGAGAGGGAAAGTGGCAAGCAAAAACTACAATGTAATTTGGCCTTCTCCTTTACAAATGAGGAGCCTGGGAGAGTATTGTGTGAGTCCCCAAATCACATAGTTTTTGAGTGCCCTTGGGAGCCCTGTACCTCAGCCCTGGGCTCTTATGACCATACCTTGTCTCACTCCGTCATCCAGCTCTCTAAAATAGGTTGCATTTCTTCTCATCTGCCCTAGGTAGATGAGTCTACATTTGTTTCAGTCCGATTCATTTCTTGCATTTTGCTTTTTGCTATAAGGCGCATGCGTTTGCCAGAGGGAGACAGACAGAGAGAGACAGAGAGAGAGAATGAGTGAGAAATCACCCTCTAGGGGGATAACCACGCCACAATCCCTTCTCCTCCACTCTCCTCTCAAGATTTGAGGCACTCATGCACACACACCTGGTGTGCTTTTCAAGCCACCAGATGTGGGACTCGAACCGCACACTAGACCTTGTGGGATCCACTTTACCTTTTGTATTTAAAAGACAGCAAGACTGAGGTGACTGCCGAGCATTCCATTACTACCCACTGAGAAACTGACTGCCTCCCATCCCCTTGTATTTCCTGCCGCTCCTTTCTCAGATAATTGCTCATTAATCCCTGTGTCTGAGTTCTGCATCAGCGTCTTCATATTCAAGATATTAGATCCAGAGATTAGACTGGTGAGTGAAACACACCAGCAAAGAAATCTTACCCATCAAGTTGCCTCTTCTTCCTGTCCATATTTTTAATTCCCACCTCACTTTGGAAAGCTCTGAAGAGGAAGGGCAGTTTCATCCCAACAGTTTGCACAAGTGGTTCTCTTAGATCAAATGGAATATGTGAAAAACCCCAGTTAACAGGCTGGGATCTGGGTACTGGTCTAGCTCTGCACATAACCAGATATGGGATGTCAGGCAAGTCTCTTTCTTTGAGCCCTAATTTCTCCCTCTGTAAAGTGAGCCATTGGATTAGAAGATTTCTAAGGTTCTTTCTAGTCCTCCAAGGTTACATGTATGTGTTTGGTGTTAAGTG